AGTAAATGCAAAAAGTGCATGAATGTTATTCCTGCAGCCATCCTTTCCCTATGACAACATGAGGAAGATGGGGTTGACCAGTTTTACATTTCAATGAGTGGTGAACACAAATAACCAGCATTCTGTGTTCCCTTACCAAGGCAGCTTCACATAGAAGCAAATATCAGGCTTGGGGCCATTTCATCTTATATAGCAAATGGAAATAAGACTCGGCCAAGGTTTGGGAACAGGTCAGGGAGCCAGGAATTCCTACGTTCAGCCTCTGATTCCCCAGCAGCCTGGAAAACCAAAATGAAGGTTCCACCCTTTTTTTTAAAAAAGTGGCAATACGAAGTTACATTTCCCCAAACAACCCGCCCACTAGTCTATTATCTGCTTCCTGGCCTACAACTCATTCCATCTGGACATCTAGGTCATGCAGATGTTTGTGTCTTCCCTTAAAGGCTTTATAAAGTGGGTCTTAGGACATGCAGATATTGTAAAGCATGAAGAAGCTGGAGCAAGATGAGGCCCGAGGTAACGGATTTTAAATCGGTCATCTCTGGCCTGAGTGCTCTGTCTGCTATATCTCTGGCATGCAGCCTAGGTGTGTCTTCAGGTGTGTTTGTTTTTTCCAAACCTAGAATAGTGGCCAGTGCAGATCACTGCATTTAGGGTGGCCTGTCACACTGAGCACAAGTCACTATCTAGTCATTTTAAAAATGAGCCATGTGAGCTTGCATCCAAAAACCCAGCTGACCAACTATTTGAACAAAACGAGAGCATTTTTGCCAATTCAATAATTCACATAGATTTAGATCAATTTAATTCCAACTTCGCTGATAAACAGTCAAAGTCTCCATTGGGCAGAGCTATGGCCTGAAACATTTTGGCCTCAAAGCTGTTTTCATGGGATAATGACTGGTGACAAGGGGCTCTAGAACAGAATGGCCAGTGTTGTTCTTTGTTCTAGGCATTACTCTTGCCTCCCTACAGGATGCTGGAGCCCCAATGAGGGGTTACTGTTGCATCTCTCGATGGCTGTGAGAACAGTTATGTGATGGGAGAATGAGAAAGTTGCAGGAGGACTGGATACAGAAGAAAAATGTTCTATTTTTGCATTGAATGCAGCATTTGCTAAACATTGTCAAAGTTTGACTCAGACTCACAATTTATCAGACCACTCTGTTTTATTAGCAAAGCTGCTCTGCTAATACATTTAGAAGTGAGCCCCCCCCCCCCCGAGTGGGGCTTGTGTCTCTTAATTTATACAGTTTTTTGGAGAACAAGTTACAGAGAAGTTACAGACGAAAGAAGAAAAAGATTTTAGTCACCACCCTTCGAGATCCCTGAGACCAGTCACGTATCTTCAATTACCTGCCACCCTTAACAATCTCCTTTAACAGCTTCCAGTTAACTTAACTAATTGCCCTTCACGCCTTCCATTCTGATGCCTGCTTCTTAGACGTGCTGGCTCTATCTTAATTGCTTCTCCATTCAAAAGCTAACTGTCCCTACGTGTGCTCCGTCAGATACTTTGTAACATGTTTTGGCATGCCCTCTCATATACAATGTATCCAGCATGTTCCCTTATACAAGGTTATACTTATACAATGTTATACTTCCACAACATCTAAAAGTTGAGTTCTGCTTCAGAAAAATGAAACCGATCACTGCCCCACCCAGAAACCTTATGTTGCTAAAGGCCATCCATCTTAATACATCCTCAGTGACCCCACCCTGTCTTGTCCTTTGGGCTCTTCCAGGGAGGGGGATGTGCCACACACCTTGGTGTAGATCTTCCTACCATGTCCCTGCAGCTCCTTTCTTATATGCATTGATGAGCCGTGAAATAATTAACAACATTGACATTTAAAGTATCATTGCGGGCATCTGAGTTTGATCCCTGAGATCAGTCGCAGGAGTTCATACCTCAGAGTTGTTTTTCAGGTTGTCTGCAAACTCAGGCAGAGTTGCTAGCTCAGTTACACTCACTTCACAGCTTGGTGGGTTTGTTGTTGTTGCTGGTTTGTTTGTTTGTTTTGCAACCATACTAGCTGGAGACTAATTTTTAAAAGGTTAAAATAAAAGCTGGGACTATGGAGGCTAATTCAGAGGTCTATCTGTCCCACTCCAACCCTTCCAACTAGCCTTGCATTTTGGAAAACGCTGATGGTTCAATAACCACAAAACTGTATTAATGCAGCTATAAGATTGAGATTCTACTTGTGCAAATGTCTGGACAGTTGAGCAACTGAAGTGTATTTCCCTTTGCTGAAATTTTCAGATGTCGGTACTAGAAGTCTGGCACCGCGATCCATCTTGAGGATCCATTTAAAGTGCTTGCTATGGAAGTGTTCAGCACCCACAATTTCTGTTGTTTTCAGTGGAAGTGTTGGATGCTGAAGACCTCAGAAAATCAGGTCAGTGGTTTAGTTGGCCTAAATATGGATCTAGGTGCTGGCTCTAGGCATCTGAATTTGACAACCTTGATCTTTGTGTTAATGCCCCCAAAGTATTTTGCACTACTGTATGTGATGCTTGCTTTAATATAACACACCAAAGAAAGTTGCTTAAACTAACTTGCTGCATCAAAAAAATCCAACCTCTCCTCCTACCCCCTGAATAGTTCCAGTGTCACAAATAGGCCTGCTAAACATTAATCAAGTCCATCCTCTGCCTGTGACCAGCAAATAACTAGCCTCTAGGGATTCAGCGACAGTATCCCCTACTGCTGTCCTGCTTCCTTCCCTTTCCAGTCACTGGGGTCTGTTATGTTTGTGTGTACACTGATTTGCCTTGAGATGTGAGCAACTTGATGCTGGGAGTTTGGCTCTGATTTTCAAAGGTGCAGCTAAGCAGCTATCACTCCAGCTGAAACCAGTGGGACTGGTGGGCGGTCAGTATCTCTGAACATTAAGTCCCTGTGCTGTCGTCTTTGTCTGCCGAAGGGACATGCCAAATTACAGCTATAGAAATAATACTGTCATTATGTGGCTGAGTCATCACATCTTTGACTCTCCTGAGTTCTGAGCAACTGAATTCCTAACATTAAGGCTGCATCTAAATAATTTTTGCATTTAATCTCCTTGGCATGAAATAAGAAAGATAAATAGAAAAATGGCAGGAAATCTGTATGTATTTTTTAGAGCTGGTTGAAAAACTGATAATTTTTCACAAAATCTTTGTCTCAGATGTTGAATTTTCAAAAGATTTCAACTAGTTTTATTTATTGTGTTTACCCATGTCTATATATAAACAACTAAAATCCACCTGACTTGTCCTCTAGGTGCTTGTTACAACATTTGACATTGTGCAGTGCATACAAAAAGAACAACTTCTTATCCTCTCCATGCAGCAGAAACAACCAGCCAAAATATTAATTTATAAATACCCTACTGTACACAAATACACTAACCCTCATCACCACCCATCTCATCAAAAGCCTCCTGGCTTGATTTTCAGAGGGGGCTGAGCACCCAAAAATCCCATTGACTTCAACACGCATTGCAGGAATCCAGCACGCTTAAAATCAGGGTATAGTGGGTAGTATTAACTGCAGTAATGGGCCCTTATACTGCAACTGAGAAAGAAAGCTGACTATTGGAACTGACAGGGTAACCTAACTCACTTCTTTATCACAGAGAAAGCTGATCAGAATGTGGTACATTAAGGCAGAAAAGACCAAGGTTTACAAAACCAAGGTTTGAAAATAGCAGGGCTAAGTTGCACAGTGGTAAAAACATTTGAGCCTTGTCTAAATTACAGCTTCCTCTGTTGCTACCACTGCTGGGAATTGTGAGTCCTAATTTGTGAGTCTAGTGTAAACAAGGCTCTCCAGTCTGAAATCTTTGCAAGACTGGAGCTCCACTCCTTTGGGGCTAGATTCCAATATCCTCATTCTATGCATGGCTCTACTGTAATCAAAGGGACTACTTGCAGAATGAGGTACTATTCAACACAAAAAAGGGGTCCAAAATCCAGCCCTTTGTGCTTAGGAGCATGACACCAATCAGACTTCTTGTCCTGTAAAGTCTGGTGGACTTTGTTAACATGCCATGGGTCTGCTGGACCTTACTAAATCCTGCAGACTGTTGAAAGTCTGCCAAACCCTTAACATGCATTATAAAGTGCACCGGACTTTTATCAATGCAGGGGCTGAATGTGTTTCTTACAATGAAATGAATAACTCCAAAAATAAGCCCTTCCAACTTCTCAGAAAAAATCGTAAGCATAAAAGTGCATCAAGGGCTATTGAATTAAACAAGCATAAGGTTCTCTGTCATGTCACTTTTGGGTGACCAGAAATTAATATACTTTCCAAAAAGAGAACTGTACTTTTTTAAAAAAAATCCCATATATCTGAACTGCAGCTTGTCCTTGACTCCTGACATTTTGAACATGCACTAAATTGTCCTCCAGGCACAAGACCACATGGGCAAAATTTAAGCGCAGAGGGGCCTTTTATTGTTGTTGTTTTATTTTAAGAAAAGGGAGCAGGGTGAGCACATTTTGATTTCTGATGGAAAGCTTGCAAGACTAGCATCTCTCCATCCCAATCTTGAATGTTGCTAGCTGACTCTTCCCCCTTTGGCTGGGGTTTGCATCAGCACAAGCACAATTTCCACGCATTCTTTCAGTCTGGAAATGAAACAATTTTCATTAATGGAAACCTGGTTCTCAAGCAGAACAATTAGACCCACTTCAGATTGAATAAAGATAAAAGCCCATTAATTTGGATGGAGAACTCTTCTTCCGAGGCAGCCAATTGTGTAATCAGGCTGCCTCCCACCTGACTTGATGAGTAATTAGGAGATAGTCCTCTTTTTGTATGTGCATGTGTGTCAACCTTAACACACTTGTGTCATTGTCCCATTGGGACTTCCAGGGGGGAAGAACAAGTAGATGGCCAAAGATCAGGGAGAGCAGATTTGTTAGTGTGGCTAATTAATTGGTATGCTTAGGGTTTTTGTTTTTTGTTTTTTTTTTAAAGCCAGCTGAGAAGTTTCTGACAGTACACCATGACTGATTTGGGATGTAAAAAGCCCAGTGACTGCACCGTATCCAGGCTGCTCAATGTCGTGGAGAGTGAGCTCCAAGCTGGCAGAGACAGAGGGGACCCGACTGAGAAACAACTCCAGGTTGTCTTGGAGGAGGCTGCACTGTGGCAGAGGTTCAGGGAAGTCACTAATGAGATGATTGTGACCAAGAACGGCAGGTGAGTGCTGTACTGTTCCCAGTGTAATTAGCGTATCCTACGGTATATGGGGAATATTAGCAACTGCTGTTTACATAGGCTAAAGAAAATTGTAGCCATGGTATAATGTTGTTAGTGCTGTGTGTGCATCCACATATACTGTGCAGGGAGGGAAAGGCAGTCTCAGAGACAGCCTACAAACTAAGGAGGGGGTTCATGTTCCTTTCTGAATACTGACAAACTATCCCTGTGCCCTTTTAGCCCTGATTGTAAGAGACACTGCAAGAAGGTATTTATTGTCTTGGGACTGAACAAAATACTAAAGAACATTTCCCAGGGGAAGGATAGTTCCACCTCCCCACCCCACTGCAAGGGCTTTACAAATGATTCCCTCTGAACACCGCTTATAATGATACTCAGTGCTTAGACGGTAGCTTTTCGTCTGTAGGGCTGAAAGTGCTTTACAAAGGCAGAGCAGTGTCATTATCCCCATTTTACAGCTGAGGAAAGTGAGTCACCTGCCTGAGATCACACAAGTCAATAGTAGATCTCAGACTAGAACTCAAGTCTCCCAACCTGTTGACCCAGCCGCACTCTCTCCTGTCTTTGTTGCCCTGATATGCACTCCCGTATAAACAATTTATGCTAGAAATGGGTGCAAGACAAGCCGGTTGGCAGCATATTGGTGTGGTACAGATTCAGCAGTGCTACTGCTCCATCGTCTTTGGCAGAGAACTTGGAAACTTGGCTGGAACTTTGGTAAATGATTTATTTACAAGATCTTAGGAAGTCAAAATATTGTCCTTTGCATTGCTCATGATTCTTCTTAGCTGCTGGGCACAGTCAGTGTGTGTGGCACTCTACAAAATGCAAAGGAGGAGACAATGCTAAAGCTGGGGCCTTACTAGTGGAAAAGTCTAGTGCTTTGCTGAGCTGGGAGTGAGGACTGTCCACCCAAGGTACTTCCACTCTAAACTGGGCAGACCATGCCGTTAGATGTGTGACACATTGGGGTGATTAGAGGAAGGTCCAGTCACAAAGCAGGGCTGAGATTTCTGTTTTTAAGAGCACACAGTTCTTCCTTTGCTGGATTGTCACTGGGAGATTTCATAGAAGACCTGCATATTAAGGAAGGATTGGAACAAAGAGGGAGCAAAAGCCAAACGGAAGGGGTGATGTGTGTCAATCTTGCAGAAAGAGATTAAGATCAGCAATTTTCTGATGCAGAACAGGGGACATGGGCTGAACTGTGGTACCAGCTGCTAGCACCTGTCATGGATCATAGCAGATAGAGATCAAAAAAATCTATTAGCTCAGGAAGCCTATCCCACTGCAAAAACAGCTGATATTCGTGAGTTATCAGATATTGAACTGATACCACACTAGTATTGGATTCATTCCCAATAGTGACCTGTATGGAGAAACAGACATCTGTTTCTTCTAAGGTCTTGTCTACATTCAGAAGTTGTGCTCTGTTTAAATTCAATTGGTTTTTAAATTAATGTAGTTAAAGCAGAGCCAACACCTGTGTGGGCATTTGTTTTGCTGTAAGAATGGCTTATTTCAGTTTGTCTTAAACTGTTTCCTAATCAACTTAAGCCAAACCCAGGCAAGCCTGTTTAAACTCAAATAAAAGGGCTTTGCATTGATTTAACTAAATCGGTTACAAATCACACCCTCAGTTAAACTAATACAACTTCCTTTTGTAGACCAGCCGGGAAACAATCAATGTAGACTATACTGCTTATCCCTACACAGAATAGTATTTTACTAGAGGTAAAGCATACAAGTGAGTATGTGTGGATAATTATTTTTGCCATGGGGAAGAGTGAGGTCGATGGGTCTGTTATGATCAGGTGTTCATTAGGGTGACCAGATGTCCCGATTTTATAGGAACAGTCCCGATTTGGGGTCTTTTTCTTATATAGTCTCCTATTACCCCCCCACCCCCTGTCCTGATTTTTCACACTTGCTGTCTGGTCACCCTAGTGCTCATGGTTACTTTTGGGTGGGCTATGGATAGCTTTCCACTGATCAAATTCTCAATATTTTTGCTTTGTTGTAAACTCTGCATTCATTATCAACCTGATCCTGCCCCCCCCCCCCGAAGTCAGTGAGAGTTATCACTAACATCAATGGAAGCAGGACTGGGTCCCTTCTATAATAGAAAACGTAAGTTGCCTTATAAATAAGCTAAAGTACAGTAGTCTATGGTTTATGGTCCTAAGCACAGTTATGTTATTAGAGGGTTTGGGGCTGTTACTATAAGATCATGTAGGCTTTTGTAAAAAGACCTCTTTGCATTTCTAAAAGTGTGTTTTAATTAAAACCAGAGTGCAAGCTGGAGAAATATAGATAAGGCCCTGAAGAATCTAAGGGGACAGACAAAGTGAGACCTGGTGGAGCTTTTTTTGTATGACTCATGGCCTTTTGCAGGCTGGGGAATCTTAAATAACAAGAAAATACTTGTGATGGGCTTTTCGGGTGGGAGTGTCAAAAGTGCCTGGCACTGGCCTAACCCTGCTGCCATTGAAGTTTGTTAAAACCCCCATTGACTTCAAAGGGAGGAATGCAGAACAATTTTTAAAATCCCATCCTAAGAGCTTTATGAACACCCACAAATTAATCCTGACAACACACTATCAAATCAGTAAGTGTTATCATCTGGGGAAACTGGGGCCCAGTGTGGTGAAGTGACTTGGCCAAGGTCATCTACCAAATCAAAGGTAGCGCTCCGAACAGAACCAGAAAAATGTAAGGCTGCATGGCCTTAAAGTTTAGGACTTAGCAGCACAATTATGACATTATGATTTAGTTGGGATTGGTCCTGCTCTGGGCAGGGGGTTGGACTAGATGACCTCCAGAGGTCCCTTCCAACTCTATGATTCTATGACATGTACAATTTAACAAGGTCTAGTAGATTAGTCTCCAGTAGGCACTGATGTTTCCCCAAATGTGCTTGAATCATAGTGACTTCAAGGGCCCACGGTGAATATCAGAATTAGAGACATTGATACTATAGCTGATATATGTGTCCGATACAATGTGATGCTCCGTTATAATAATGTAACTTGCATAGCAGTATACAGAGAATCACAGATGGTAGAGGTAGATACATGTGATGTTTTAGGGATCTCACAGCCCAGGAAGGAGTTCTGTCACTGCCTGCTCCATACCCTGGGGTGTATTTATGCTGTGATGTGATGGCTCAGACCCCTGACACCAGTCGCCTGCCTACAAGCTCAAGGTCTCACCCTGGCTTCCACCAGCCTCGTTCTTCCCTGCAGGATGACATGAACAGTCCTGAGACTCCCCAAATCTCTCCTTCATGAATTCCAGGCACTTGGGCTTCCCCCTCTGGCTCCTCCCAGCAGAAGGCATGAAACCAGCCCTCAGACAGCAATTTATTTTGGCATGCACACTCCACGTGGTTTGGGGTAAAACTAAACAAAAGGTTTATTTAATAGAAAAGTCACAGCTCCAAAGATGAAAGAGGAAGGGAAACAAACATACAAGTTACACAGAAAATAAACAGAAAGATGCAACCTCAGGCTTTCCATTTCCATATTCGATAAAATTCCTTGTCTAATACAAGATTCCTTGTGCCTCTGAACAGTTTCCCAGTGTACACCCTAGCCATAAGGAGCATCCAGTGTTTCATGGACAGCACCTGCCAACCAACTGTCTCTCAGTTTCTGGATGAAAACTTCAGTTTCAATTCTCTTTTTTAAAAGGCTTCCCTGCCCCCGCTCCCCTTTTTTTTCTTTCAGACTAGGGTAATTCATGGTTACTCAGACTGGGGAAATCCCCAGTCATAGGTGCTGGAACTAGGGGTGCTGGGGGTGCAGCAGCACCCCCTGGCTTGAAGTGGTTCCTGTCATATCCAGGATTTACAGTTTGGTTCAATGGCTCTCAGCACCCCCACTGTACAAATTGTTCTTGCACCCCTGTCCCCAGTTGTCTCAAAGTCTTTCCATTAGCTTTAATGGTTCACCTTTGTCCTTTTCTAGGCTGGACAATGGCTGGGTACATGAAGCTGGGTTCATGTACACAGCTGGCTTGGGAGGTAGCCCCTGCCTGCCTGATTGCTTCTGGGCCCTGTTATGCGGTGATGCTCAAGTTGCATCACAGTTACAATTTGCAGCTTTCTATCTATACACATACATACATTCCTAACCGTGGTGTGTACACACATCTCCTAATGACCATCGAGTTCGGAACATTGCAAGCTTTCATAAAAGACCTTACTCAATATGTTTTTATAGTACCATATCATTGTCTACACTCAGTTAAATCAACCATTCATTTCTGGGGTTTAATCCATCTGTTCTCTCCTTGGGGCATCTGCACTCTGATTACTGCAAGAAGTGCTGGACATACCAGTTGTTAAACTGATACTCCACTTAATCCTAGTTCTTGATAGTACGAAACACACAGCTGGGCTGTGATGCTGATGCAGTGAGACTCAGCAGTGTTTTTATTCTGTTGCTATTTATGTTAGAGCTGTTTCAGTATCCTAACCATAACTTAACTCCTGATTTCAAAAGTTTTATCTAAGGTATAGCGCCCACATCACTCTGGTATCCGAGTTTCTCAGAATCGCTAAAGTATTTATCTTCATATCCCCCCTGTGAGGTAGGGAAGTGCTATCATCCTCGTTTTATAGCTGAGGCACAGAGAGACTAAGGGCTGGTCTATGCTGAAAACTTACATTAGCATAGCTACATCTTTCAGGGATGTGAAAAATCCCCATCCTTGAAGGGTGCAGCTATGCTGACCTAACCACTGGTGCAGACAGTGCTCGGTTGACAGAAGAATTCTTCCATCGACCTAGCTACCGCCTACTGGGGAGGTGGATTAACTACAGCAATGGGAGAACCTCTCCCACTGACCCCATAGATCACCCTGTCATACAGCTTTTCCCAAACATAACAAAGAAGCAGAGTTTGCAGCCCCTGTTCTCAACCTCACCTCTTGCTTTCTAAGGTTTTCAGTGGTAGGACATATGGTATAGCAACCTTTCCTCAAAGTAAACTGGGGGTGGGGGGAAGGAGGTTGTGTGCGTTTCCCAGATTTTCCGTTAATATGGATCAACATGGAGAGTCATTCCCATGGACAGCTATCGGTGTTGATCTGCATTATCCCTACAGAAACTTGAATTCTCAGCTCCCAACCGTCTACCCCCAGGCTCGCTTCCCCTTCTGATCATTTTCAGAACACCACTCCGCCACCATGGCACTTTTCCATGGACAGGCCAGAGTGCTGCCCTCAAATCCTCTTTTCCCCACCCCTGCGCTCTCCCAATCACCCCTAGCCTTACTATCCTCCAACATGCTCCCCTCACAGCCCCTCTCCCTACCACAGCCTCCCTGCTTGCCTACCCCCGCAGCTTTTAAAGGTTTCTGTGTATCACTGACATGGCTAACAGTTGGTGCATCTCACAGTTTACAAGCTGAATGAGAGAAGTGTGGGCCTCAAGGGGGAGCGACGATGTAGGTGAGGGGAGTGTGTTAATGAGTGGGGCTGTGGTGAAACAAGGGGGCAATATGTGTTTTGGGGGACCCTGGCCAGAGTAGGCTTATTTACAACATGGATAAAGTGTGTGTGTGTGTAAGTAAAACTGTATGATGTATACAATGTAAAAAAACCAACAATCTCCACACATAGAACAAGAAAACAAAAATTCCATGATGCAAAGCTATTTGCTAGACATCAGTAGAATGAATTCCCGCTCAAGATGCACGTGCAACAAGTGTGCATTTTTGTGCACTAAGGGCCTGATCCAAAGCCCACCAATGTCAATGGGAGTTTTCCATTGACTTCAACGAGCTTTGGATCAGGCCTTAATTGAAATGATTTTCCTCACTCACTGTGCACATTAATCAACCGTACAGATACGCAGGTGGCTTTAAAGCCTTGCCTTATTCCATTATAACAGGGTTCAAAAAAGAACTAGATATGTTCATGGAGGACAGGTCCATCGATGGCTGTTAGCCAGGATGGGCAGGGATGGTGTCCCTAGCCTCTGTTTGCCAGAAGCTGGGAGTGGGCAACAGGGGATGGATCACTTGATGATTACCTGGTCTGTTTGTTCCCTTTGGGACACCTGGCATTGGCCACTGTGGGAAGGCAGGATGCTGGGCTGGATGGACCTTTGGTCTGACCCAGTATGGCCATTCTTATGTAGGTATGTTCCATATGTGCCTTCAAGCGTCGTATATAATTCATAGATTCCAAGGCCAGAAAGACCATTGTGAGTATCTAGTCTGACCTCATGTATAACACAGGCCATAGAACTTCCCCAAAATAATTCCTAGAGCAGATCTTCTATAAAAACATCCAGTCTTGATTTAAAAATTTGTCTGTGAATCCACCACGACCCTTGGTCAATTGTTCCAATGGTTAATTACTCTCACCATTAAAGATGTACACCTTATTTCCAGTCTGAATTTGTCTAGCTTCAACTTCCAGCCATTGGATCGTATTATACCTTTCTCTGCTAGATTGAAGAACCCCACCCATGTTAGTGATTTTTCCAAAATGTCTGTGTAGTAAAGGAAGAATTTAAATCTGCCTATGTTGGTATATCTTGTTTATGGCTCCCCATTGGCTGGTGAGGGATAAAGATGGGGATGTGTGAATGATTTCTGAATAGTTTTCTACAAATTAAGATGTTACAATTGTAAGATCTGAATTCTTGCTGTCTTCTAGATCTGTACTACTGTGGTGTAGGGATTTCCATCCACCTCTCCAGTGGAATAAGGTTGATAGCTATAAGAGTCTGACTAGTACAGGACAATATTATCAGTCCTGGTCCCATCAACCAGGGTCATTTTGGGGTGAAATTCCATATTTCAGGTGAAACATGAAAGCATTTTGTGGCTGGTTCTGACTGACCAACAGGAAATGAAAACAAAGTGATGGTAGTCCTTTAACATCATCTATGTTTCAGCCACCGTGAGGGTAATTTGTTCTTTGAGCAACTCAAGGAGCGTCTTTGCAGAAACATACCAACAAGCCTCTTTTATATCAGGACTAATGTTGCTTTCCCCACTTCTGCCTTCTGTTTCCACTACAGACGGATGTTCCCAGTTTTAAAGATCAGTGTGTCAGGTTTGGATCCCAACGCCATGTACTCCTTCCTGTTGGACTTTGCCCCAACCGACGGCCACCGCTGGAAGTATGTGAATGGTGAATGGGTGCCCGCTGGGAAACCAGAACCACCAAGCCACAGCTGCGTCTACATCCACCCAGACTCTCCCAACTTCGGGGCGCACTGGATGAAAGCCTCTGTTTCCTTCAGCAAAGTGAAACTTACCAACAAGCTCAATGGAAGCGGGCAGGTACAGCACGATGTTTCCCATACACCTCTGGTCTTCCATTGCAAGCACCTACCAATCAAGAAATATCAAGGGTGCATTTATGCAATTAGAGGGGCCCTCTTCACCCACAGATGCCATTTATTCTCTGGAGCCCAAATGTAAACAGGAATAAACAGGTCTTAATTGGCACTTTCAGATTTTAATGGACTTCTTGATGTTAAGAGAGACAGAGAGTGCTGTGGGTTATTTAATCATCAGGGCTTTTCATAGTTTGTCTTGTGTGCTGGGTTTTTTACATAGAACTTTAGAGAAAGGGGAAAAAATGGTTGTGGGTATTAGGTTTTTGTTGTTTTTCCCCATGTTCTTTGGTGTAAGTGGAATGTTGGCAAGAGTCAGATACCAGAATAAAAGGCTGCTCCTAAATGAAATAATTACTATGTCTGCTTCTGCCTCATGATAATTATCAATATTCTATTGAGTCAGCTTTGGTCTTTGGGAGGAAACTGCATGTACTAGAAATAAGTGACATTCACTTTGAGCCCCTTAAAAATACAAACAGAAAAATTGGTTTGGACTGTTTTTTTTGAAGATGTATCTGAAAGTAAAATATTGCACACGATCTTTTGTTTGCATATTTGTTTTGTACAAAACTCCTATATTGGATGCTACTTGTCAGCCTAAAGTCAATTTCTTTCAAGTAAATATTTAGGCTTGGAAGGATTTGATTTTTATAAGTAAATGTCGATTTTACCATCTACACACAAGCTGACAAAAAATATTTCCATCGATGATAATCAAAATGTGCAGCTAGGCAAAGTAAGAAAAACACTGCTTGAGAATATATTAGGGTTTGATTTAAGGATACTGATTTTTGTATAGTTTGATGTGATGTTGACAATTTGTGTTTTAATAATTATAAAGCTTTAATTTTTCAAATCTCAACATCTACAGTCATTAAATAATCATCTGACCCGCACACTCATTGTCTGTCATGCCCATAATTTTGTGCAACTGTGAACTTCTATTTATATATATATATATATATATATATATATATATAGAAAAAAATAGAAAAAATGCTTAAAAATAAACATCAATATTATCTGTCAGAATTATATATAGGTATAAAAAAATCGAATTCTGTCAAACTATAAATATATATAAATATAAGGTTCTTTACTTTAACCTTAGCCCTGAGTAGTATCTCCTTATTGTAGTATTTCTAATTTGTTTGTCACCATTTCTATTATGCTCATCTAGGCACCTCACAAGCCTTAAAATTTAGCTTCAGAGCACTCTTATGAGGTAGGGAATTGTTTATCCTCATTTTATGGATGGGGAAACAGAGGCATTGACAGGTGACATGCTTTGCCCAAGGTCATACAGGGTGACAGTAGCGGAGCTAAGAACAGAATCCAATGGCTGCCACATTCTGGTTCTGCATCTTAACTATAAGACCATCCTTCCTTCCTAATCCCCAGAAGGGAGGATATTTTTGAAGGGTGGGAAAAAATTATGGACAAATTTGGGTGTTTAAGCAAGTCATATCCCCTGTCTGGGGCTCTGCTTCCCCTTCTTTGTTCTTAATCAAAATGCGATCCTTGGAGGAAGGTATTTTATAATAAGAACAAATAATTGTATTGTTCACTGAGCACCCCTTGTGTGTTCAGCACTTTGTAAAACACAGAAAAAGATCATGGTCCCAGTGCTTTTTAGACCATAAGCACCTCCGGGTGGGGATTGTCTCTTATCTGTTTGTACAGCTTCTAGCACAGTGGGGCCTTCATTCTGACTGGGGTCTTCTTTGGGCACTATCAAAATATAAATATTTACTGCTGCATCAGAAGCATCTAATGTAATTCAGCTGGAGTCTGTCCCCGTCCATCCTCGAATGGAGGGAGGAAAGAAGAAATCCTTCTCTCTCTCTCTTTCAGCAGCCAGGAATTGGGGAGGGGATAAAGGGTAGTGTGGAATCACAGAGAGAATGACCCTGGAGAGCTCTGCTGACATTGGGGTTGCACTGTGATGTTGGTACATGATGTCCCCTCAATATGGGACTGACAACAAGTATCAATGACACGATGCAAATACCACAAGGCAAAGTCAGGTCATCACTCATAATTCCTTTGTGGCTCTGTTTGGTGACAAACGTAGCTCTTCAGCTGTTTCAGGCTGGGCATCACTGATGTAGCTGTGACACTCCATAAGAACGGCCATACTGGGTCAGACCAAAGGTCCATCTAGCCCAGTATCCTGTCTTCCGACAGTGGCCAATGACAGGTGCCCCAGAGGGAATGAACAGAACAAGGCAATTATCAAGTGAGCCATCCCCTATCATCTAGTCCCAGCTTCTGGCACACAGAGGCTAGGGACACCATCCCTGCCCATACTGGCTAATAGCCATTGATGGACCTATCCTCCATGAACTTTTTTCTAGTTCTTTTTTGAACCCTGTTATGGTCTTGCAACTCTGGCAAGGAGTTCCACAGGTTGACTGTGCGTTGTGTGAAGAAATAATTCCTTTGGTTTGTTTTAAACTTGCTGCCTATTAATTCTGTCTATCTTCCTTCTTGTTTTCTGCAGATAATGCTGAATTCCTTGCATAAATACGAGCCTCAGGTTCACATCGTTCGCGTGGGAGGCCAACATAGGATGGTAATGAACTGCTCCTTTCCGGAGACTCGGTTCATAGCTGTCACTGCTTATCAAAATGAAGAGGTAGGTGGATAATAATGTCACACAATTTGGTCATCGCTGATGAGGAAATATTAAAAGCCTAAGACCTGCCAGATCAGCACACACCGATGGTGAACATAATCCAGTATCCTGTCTCCCTGTTGGTCCAGAGCGGATTGAGGGCCCATCTAATTGAGTACTCTGTCTCCTTGCTGGAACAAAACACACCCTTGGTCCACCTTGTCTAGAATCTGACTGCAGTATGAGTACAGATGAGTGGTCAGGGTAGTCTGGTATTCTGCCTCCTGCCATACTGGATTGTCTATCTGTACCAGTAGCCCATCCCCTTACCAAGCTGGAACAGACTGACTTTCTGTCTTGTCCAGCATCTGTCTCTAATACTGGCCAGTGCTGGATATTTCTGTGGAAAATATAACTCCTCCACTCCTCCTATAATGCACCCAGACTATTGTACTAGACCCTGGGGAAATTTCTTCCTGACCTCACACTGTAATCAGGCAGTGCCCTGAAGTATGAGGGTTGGTGGCCCTTGTCCCTTTTTTCCCAGAGTTAATGTCACTACAGCTATTATTCATATTTGTATGCAATTCAGCAGCTTTGGGAGAAGTATTCACAATAATACAGAATTTGCCATACTGAATAAGACCATTGGTCCATCAGTTCTAGTTTCCTGCCTTTGGCAGTGACCAATGTCTGTATGCTTCGGAGGAGAGCAATGCTCCCACACAACGCACCTGGCTGACATATAGCCACATGGTAAATACAATGCCTGTCTTTTGTTTCACTAACTGAGGCAGAACTGAGTCCATTCAGTTTATGCTGGACAATGCTATGTCAAGTCTCTGTTAAAATTACCTTCACTAACGTGCCTTTTTTTTTGTAAACCCAAGATAACAGCTCTCAAAATCAAGTATAATCCCTTTGCCAAAGCCTTCCTGGATGCAAAGGAAAGGTGAGTTTGACTTTTGCTCAGCTTGATGACTTTTGCTGCTGTTACAGTTAAAATTGTAACAATACTATGAGAAAGATAAGGGGCAAATCCTGACCCCCCTTTCCACTGCTATAAATCCAGAGTAACGCCATTGAGGTCAGTGGTGTTAATGTCAGATTTACGTCACGGTATTTGTCATCACACTTTGGTCCTACATGGGTGAGTGCACTGCTGATACAAAATGCTGAAATATCATTTATTTGTCACATTTTATAATAAGACTACTATAATTACATTACGGTTATCTTTGGTTTTGCTTTTCAGTATATAATTACTACTAATTTGTATAAATAGAAATTTAACAGGTTGACTGTACTTCTTATTAACCCTTCAGTGTTGCATTTCATGCACATAGTGTTAGATTTTAGGTATGTTAGCTCCATTGTATTTATACTTTAATTGTTCTCATATATTCTCATTTCATGAAACTATCCAGTTATATGAATAAGTAGTAACCACAGAGATCAACATAACCACAGTGAAATTGCAATGTAACTGCACTGTAATTACCATACCTTTAAGGTAAAGTGTGATCCATTTAATTAAAATAGTCTCCATAGGAGATCACTGTATTTAAGAAGTTAGAGAGACATGCGCTGTCCGAAAATAAGTGTATTTATTTGTCACCTTTAAATGGTTTGTATGTGCCACCCATGCTAACAAAATATGGCTTTGTCCCCCTCTGGTGGCTGGACCATGTATAGAGGTTTGAGTCTACTACTGCCTTGAAGTCAATGGCCTTGGTCCTTTCACTCAAGCAAAAAGGGCTCATGTACTTAGATCCAGAGCGCTAGGGTTCAATCTCCGAAGATGACAGAGTCAGGGACATTGTTGCACATGGAATGAGGCAAGGGCTCCTGCCTCCTTGACTGCACATCTTTCATAGTACAGAGCTTTCTACAGTTCTCTAGCGGTCAGTTGAAGATGGTGGAATTTCTTTTTTATCTTCATTTTCCCTTCTGCCTTTTCAGTTGATGAAACCTAAAATTGAACAATTTTCAGTTTTAATTTTTTTTTTCCAATTTCCATTTCCCTAACCCTTTTGCCTTCTTTGAATTCAGCACAATGTAACCACTCATTATTTTCTCTTTCAGAAACCATTCCAAGGATACTCCCGAAAATGTTTCGGAAGGTCAACATATGACATATTCTCACCGTAAGGTTTCCCAACATAATTTTACTCATGGGAACTTGAAGAATTATGTAATATATAATAATAGACCTATGTGTAGTGCTGGGGAGGAACTGGTAGTCGTGGTACATGTAGGTACCAATGACACAGGGAAGGATAGGAGAGAGGTCCTGGAGGCCAAATGTAGGCTTCTAGGAAGGAGACTGAAATCCAGGACCTCTATGGTGGCATTCTCTGAAATGCTTCCAGTTCCACGCGCAGGGGCCAGGTAGGGAGGCAGAACTGCAGGGTCTCAATGCGTGGGTGAGAGGATGGTGTAGGGAGATGGGGTTTAGATTCATTAGGAACTGGGGAAACTTTTGGGATAGGGGGAGCCTATACAGGAAGGATGGGCTCCACCTAAACCAAAGTGTATCCAGACTGCTGGCACTTAACATTAGAAAGGTTGCAGAGCAGTGTTTTAACTAAGATATGGGGGAAAGCCGATTGCTGCAGAGGAGCATGTGCAGTATCGTCCTTAGGATTTATGGGGCCCTATACAATATTATTAAACTGGTGCCCCTATGCCTGACGGCAGCCCAGGCTCACGTGTGTATTTTACACAAAGAAAAGGAGTACCTGTGGCACCTTAGACACTAACAAATTAAGGTGCCGCAAGTACTCCTTTTCTTTTTGTAAAATACAGACTAACATGGCTGCTACTCTGAAACGTGTGTATTTTAGATAAGGGTGATCTTTTGAAGGATTTATTTAAAAAACTATGTCTGAAGATCCAAGCATTTAAGGCTAAAGATGAATACTCAGATTGTGCATCTAAAAATCTATGCAAGGATTTTTTAGAGATGTGATTTTATAATCTTCAGCAACATACTAATGAAATATTTTTAAAAGCAAATTTTAAACTAAGGTCCTGTAGGCTAACATGTTCTGAGTAAATATTACAGTAATGCACAACTGTTTTTGTTAGTAAATTCAGAAACTGACCATATATACCTCTGGGTTAGCAAATGCCTGTTAAATGGCTTCATTACCACTTGAATGGCTCTTTAACAGTTTCAATGTTGTGCTAATAGGTCTGGCAGACTGGAAGGCTTTTTCACTTTTAAGTACTAGATCCCCTCTGGAGGCACTGTATGTGAAAGAAAATGTAGAATCAAATGAAGTAAAAATCTTAAATGAATCCACATGTTCCATAGAATCTCTATGGATAGTACTTCCATGCTCTAATAAGAATATAACAGTAGGGATCTATTATCGACCACCTGACCAGGACAGTGATTGTGACTGTGAAATGCTAAGGGAGATTAGAGAGGTTATCAAAATAAAGAACTCAATAATAGTGACAGGTTTCAGAGTAACAGCCGTGTTAGTCTGTATTCGCAAAAATAAAAGGAGTACTTGTGGCACCTTAGAGACTAACCAATTTATTTGAAAAGGAGTACTTGTAGCACCTTAGAGACTAACCAATTTATTTGAGCATGAGCTTTCGTGAGCTACAGCTCACTTCATCAGATGTATACGGTGGAAACTGCAGCAGACTTTATATATACACAGAGAATATGAAACAATACCTCCTCCCACCCCACTGTCCTGCTGGTAATAGCTTATCTAAAGTGATCATCAGGTGGGCCATTTCCAGCACAAATCCAGGTTTTCTCACCCTCCACCCCCCCACACAAATTCACTCTCCTGCTGGTGCTAGCCCATCCAAAGTGACAACTCTTTACATAATCAAGTCGGGCTATTTCCTGCATAAATCCAGGTTTTCTCACATCCCCCCCACCCCCATACACACACAAACTCACTCTCCTGCTGGTAATAGTTCATCTAAACTGACCACTCTCCAAGTTTAAATCCAAGTTAAACCAGAACATCGGGGGGGGGGGGGGGTAGGAAAAAACAAGAGGAAACAGGCTACCTTGCATAATGACTTAGCCACTCCCAGTCTCTATTTAAGCCTAAATTAATAGTTTCCAATTTGCAAATGAATTCCAATTCAGCAGTTTCTCGCTGGAGTCTGGATTTGAAGTTTTTTTGTTTTAAGATAGCGACCTTCATGTCTGTGATTGCGTGACCAGAGAGATTGAAGTGTTCTCCGACTGGTTTATGAATGTTATAATTCTTGACATCTGATTTGTGTCCATTTATTCTTTTACGTAGAGAATGTCCAGTTTGACCAATGTACATGGCAGAGGGGCATTGCTGGCATATATCACATTGGTGGATGTGCAGGTGAACGAGCCTCTGATAGTGTGGCTGATGTTATTAGGCCCTGTGATGGTGTCCCCTGAATAGATATGTGGGCACAATTGGCAACGGGCTTTGTTGCAAGGATAAGTTCCTGGGTTAGTGGTTCTGTTGTGTGGTATGTGGTTGTTGGTGAGTATTTGCTTCAGGTTGCGGGGCTGTCTGTAGGCAAGGACTGGCCTGTCTCCCAAGACTTGTGAGAGTGTTGGGTCATCCTTTAGGATAGGTTGTAGATCCTTAATAATGCGTTGGAGGGGTTTTAGTTGGGGGCTGAAGGTGACCGCTAGTGGCGTTCAGTTATTTTCTTTGTTAGGCCTGTCCTGTAGTAGGTAACTTCTGGGAACTCTTCTGGCTCTATCAATCTGTTTCTTTACTTCTGCAGGTGGGTATTGTAGTTGTAAGAAAGCTTGACAGAGATCTTGTAGGTGTTTGTCTCTGTCTGAGGGGTTGGAGCAAATGCGGTTGTATCGCAGAGCTTGGCTGTAGACGATGGATCGTGTGGTGTGGTCAGGGTGAAAGCTGGAGGCATGCAGGTAGGAATAGCGGTCAGTAGGTTTCCGGTATAGGGTGGTGTTTATGTGGCCATTGTTTATTAGCACTGTAGTGTCCAGGAAGTGGATCTCTTGTGTGGACTGGACCAGGCTGAGGTTGGTGGTGGGATGGAAATTGTTGAAATCATGGTGGAATTCCTCAAGGGCTTCTTTTCCATGGGTCCAGATGATGAAGATGTCATCAATATAGCGCAAGTAGAGTAGGGGCTTTAGGGGACGAGAGCTGAGGAAGCGTTGTTCTAAATCAGCCATAAAAATGAATTATAACATTCATAAACCAGTCGGAGAACACTTCAATCTCTCTGGTCACGCAATCACAGACATGAAAGTCGCTATCTTACAACAAAAAAACTTCAAATCCAGACTCCAGCAAGAAACTGCTGAATTGGAATTCATTTGCAAATTGGATACTATTAATTTAGGCTTAAATAGAGACTGGGAGTGGCTAAGTCATTATGCAAGGTAGCCTGTTTCCTCTTGTTTTTTCCTACCCCCCCGATGTTCTGGTTTAACTTGGATTTAAACTTGGAGAGTGGTCAGTTTAGATGAGCTATTACCAGCAGGAGAGTGAGTTTGTGTGTGTATGGGGGTGGGGGGGATGTGAGAAAACCTGGATTTATGCAGGAAATAGCCCGACTTGATTATGTAAAGAGTTGTCACTTTGGATGGGCTAGCACCAGCAGGAGAGTGAATTTGTGTGGGGGGGGTGGAGGGTGAGAAAACCTGGATTTGTGCTGGAAATGGCCCACCTGATGATCACTTTAGATAAGCTATTACCAGCAGGACAGTGGGGTGGGAGGAGGTATTGTTTCATATTCTCTGTGTATATATAAAGTCTGCTGCAGTTTCCACGGTATACATCTGATGAAGTGAGCTGTAGCTCACGAAAGCTCATGCTCAAATAAATTGGTTAGTCTCTAAGGTGCTACAAGTACTCCTTTTCTTTTTACGAATACAGACTAACACGGCTGTTACTCTGAAACCAATTTATTTGAGCATAAGCTTTCGTGAGCTACAGTTCACTTCATCGGATGCGAGCTGTAGCTCACGAAAGCTTATGCTCAAATAAATTGGTTAGTCTCTAAGGTGCCACAAGTTCTCAATAATAGTGGGGGATTTCAATTATCCCCATACTGAATCATAGAATATCAGGGTTGGAAGGGACCTCAGGAAGTCATCTAGTCCAACCCCCTGCTCAAAGCAGGACCAATCCCCAACTAAATCATCCCAGCCAGGGCTTTGTCAAGCCTGATCTTAAAAACCTCAAAGGAAGGAGATTCCACCACCTCCCTAGGTAACACATTCCAGTGCTTCACCACCCTCCTAGTGAAAAAGTTTTTCCTAATATCCAACCTAAACCTCCCCCACTGCAACTTGAGACCATTACTCCTCGTTCTGTCATCTGCCACCACTGAGAATAGGCTAGGTCCATCCTCTTTGGAACCCCCTTTCAGGTAGTTGAAAGCAGTTATCAAATCACCCCTCATTCTTCTCTTCCGCAGACTAAACAATCCCAGTTCCCTCAGCCTCTCCTCATAAGTCATGTGTTCCAGTCCCCTAATCATTTTTGTTGCCCTCTGCTGAACGCTTTCCAATTTTTTCACATCCTTCTTGTTGTGGGTACATGTCACCTCAGGATGAATTGCAGAGACAAAATTTCTCGATACTTTAAATGACTGCTTATTGGAGCAGTTGGTACAGGAACCCACAAGGGAGAGACAATTCTTGATTTAGTCCTGAGTGGAGCACAGGATCTGGTCCAAGAGGTAACTATAACAGGACCGCTGGGAAATAGTGACCATAATATAATAACATTTAGCATTCCTGTGGTGGGAAGAACACCTCAGCAGCCCAACAATGTGGCATTTAATTTCAGAAAGGGAAACTATGCAAAAATGAGGAGGTTAGTTAAACAGAAATGAAAAGGTACAGTGACTAGAGTGAAATCCCTGCAAGCTGCATGGACACTTTTCAAAGACACTATAATAGAGGCCCAACTTAAATGTATACCCTAAATTAATAAACACAATAAAAGAACTAAAAAAGAGCCACCATGGCTTAACAAGCATGTAAAAGAAGCAAAAAGAAAAGGAGTACTTGTGGCACCTTAGAGACTAACCAATTTATTTGAGCATGAGCTTTCGTGAGCTACAGCTCACTTGAAGTGAGCTGTAGCTCACAAAAGCTCATGCTCAAATAAATTGGTTAGTCTCTAAGGTGCCACAAGCACTCCTTTTCTTTTTGCGAATACAGACTAACACAGCTGTTACTCTGAAACCTGTAAAAGAAGCAGTGAGAGATAAAAAGGCATCTTTTAAAAAGTGGAAGTCAAATCCTAGTGAGGTGAATAGAAAGGACCATAAACACTGCCAAATTAAGTGTAAAAATGTAATAAGAAAAGCCAAAAAGGAGTTTGAAGAACAGCTAGCCAAAAACTCAAAAGGTAATAACAAAACGTTTTTTAAGTACATCAGAAGCAGGAAGCCTGCTAAACAACCAGTGGGACCCCTGGACGATCAAGATACAAAAAGAACACTTAAAGACGACAAAGTCATTGTGGAGAAACTAAATGAATTCTTTGCTTCAGTCTTCATGGCTGAGGATGTTAGGGAGATTCCCAAACCTGAGCCATCCTTTATAGGTGACAAATCTGAGGAATTGTCACAGATTGAAGTGTCATTAGAGGAGGTTTTGGAATTAATTGATAAACTTAACCGTAACAAGTCACCGGGACCAGATGGTATTCACCCAAGAGTTCTGAAAGAATTCAAATGTGAAATTGCGGAACTATTAACTATAGTTTGTAACCTGTCCTTTAAATCAGCTTCTGTACCCAGTCACTGAAAGATAGCTAACATAATGCCAGTATTTAAAAAGGGCTCTAGAGGTGATCCTGGCAATTACAGACCGGTAAGTCTAACGTCAGTACCGGGCAAATTAGTTGAAACAATAGTAAAGAATAAAATTGTCAGACACATAGAAGTACATAAATGGTTGGGCAAAAGTTAACATGGTTTCTGTAAAGGGAAATCATGTCTTACTACTCTATTAGAGTTCTTTGAAGGGGTCAACAAACATGTGGACAATGGGGATCCAGTGGACATAGTTTACTTAGATTTCCAGAAAGCCTTTGACAAGGTCCCTCACCAAAGGCTCTTGTGTAAATTAAGTTGTCATGGGATAAGAGGGAAGATCCTTTCATGGATTGTGAACTGGTTAAAAGACAGGGAACAAAGGGTAGGAATAAATGATACATTTTCAGAATGGAGAGGGGTAACTAGTGGTGTTCCCCAAGGGTCTGTCCTAGGACCAATCCTATTCAACTTATTCATAAAGGGGTAAACAGTGAGGTGGCAAAGTTTGCAGATGATACTAAACTGCTCAAGATAGTTAAGACCAAAGAAGTCTGTGAAGAACTTCAAAAAGATCTCACAAAACTAAGTAATTGGGCAACAAAATGGCAAATGAAATGTAATGTGGATAAATGTAAAGTAATGCACATTGGAAAAAATAACCCCAACTATACATACAATATGATGGGGGCTAATTTAGCTACAACTAATCAGGAAAGAGATCTTGGAGTCATCGTGGATAGTTCTCTGAAGACGTCCACACAGTGTGCAGCAGCAGTCAAAAAAGCAATACTGGATGTTATGAATCATTAAAAAAGGGATAGAGAATAAGACAGAGAATATCTTATTGCCCTTATATAAATCCATGGTACGCCCACATCTTGAATACTGCGTACAGGTGTGGTCTCCTCATCTCAAAAAAGATATACTGGCATTAGGAAAGGTTCAGAGAAGGGCAACTAAAATGATTAGGGGTTTGGAACGGGTCCCATATGAGGAGAGATTAAAGAGACTAGGACTTTTCAGATTGCAAAAGAGGAGACTAAGGGGAGATATGATAGAGGTATATATGTAATCATGAGTGGTGTGGAGAGAGTGAATAAGGAAAAGTTATTTACTTGTTCCCATAATATAAGAACTAGGGGCCACCAAATGAAATTAATGGGCAGCAGGTTTAAAACAAATAAAAGGAAGTTCTTCTTCAGACAGTGCACAGTCAACCTGTGGAACTCCTTGCCTGAGGAGGTTGTGAAGGCTAGGACTATAACAGGGTTTAAAAGAGAACTAGATAAATTCATGGAGAACTAGATAAATCCATTAGCCAGGATAGATAAGGAATGGTGTCCTTAGCCTCTGTTTGTCCGAGGGTGGAGATGGATGGCAGGAGAGAGATCACTTGACCATTACCTGTTAGGTTCACTCCCTCTGGGGCACCTGGCATTGGATACTGTCGGCAGACCTTTGGTCTGACCCAGTATGGCCATTCTTATGTTCTTATTATGGACATAGGATGTGCTAGACTAGATGGTCACTAGTCTTATCCAATCTAGAATCCTGTCACTGGTGGAAGTCAGTACTATAAATACTTCAGAGGAAGGTTCAAGAAACCCTGTAGTAGGCAGTTATGGGATAATCTACCCACAAGGAAATTTTCTTTATAATCCCCGGTATTTAGAGGTTTGCTTGAGCCTGGCAGTTTGAGACTTATAACCTTTCCAAAGCTGTGTTCTTTTTTTTGTTTCTTTAGTAGTATAACTCCGGAAACTCTTGTTATCCCTACAAATGTCCCATCATTATCGCTGGGTGAATGATTCATAAAATATAGGAGGGGTGGTGGTTCTTATTTTATTGAAATTTGGCTTTTCTTCCATTCATAAGCTCTGGTATTGGTGAAAAATGTTTTCTTTCCAGATTTTTCACTGAAACATTTTTACTGACATTTTTTGCTTCTTGCCCATTCCACAAACTATTTTGATTTCATTTCCCATTATTATTTCTAATTGCCACCATGTACTTTATATAATCAGTCACACTGGCAATTCTGTTCCCATCTCTAAATGAACTTTGGATTGCCCATCTTGCTTGTTTTGTTCACTAATGAAATTGTTTGTACAAATGTCCATGAACAGACTGCATTATGAGGTCCCATCCATAGCAAACAACAAGAAGATATTTAATTTGCTCAGTAGTTCACAAGAAAGTCACAGCTATCTGCTCAGTATTAATAGTGGGTGTTTTGTGCATCATGGCCCTCCAGTGTCTGGAGGCCTACAGAATAAAACTCTTCTACTTCAGTTTGGTTGAAGAAGAGCCTCTTTATTTCCAGTAGTAGGTCCATCTGTTTGCATGCCAGAAGGCCCCGGGTTCACGGTCTTCCCTACCATACATATGGGTAGCTGGCAACTATGGTATCTGTATGTACAGCACACAGTGAGTGTTACAGAATATGTAACCCATTGATGTGCAGCATATGGAATTGCTTGAGAGGCAGTGAGCTCAGCATTGTGGATAGGCGTAAAGGCGTCAAGTTACATCATTCTTTAGAGAAATGCCAAATTGAGGTGCAGTTTGGGTGGATTCCAGAAGGAGGCAAATCCAGCTCTCCTCAGACCAAGGAATAGATGAGTCTTCTGTGTGACTTTTGAGGGAAGTGAAAGTTGGAGTGAGGGATCAGGAAGCGATCCTAGAAGACAACTCTATTCAATATAGGTTTCAGAGTAGCAGCCGTGTTAGTCTGTATTCGCAAAAAGAAAAGGAGTACTTGTGGCACCTTAGAGGCTAACCAATTTATTTGAGCATAAGCTTTCGTGAGCTACAGCTCACTTCATCAGATGCATACTGTGGAAAATACAGTGAGGAGATTTATATACACACAGAACATGAAAAAATGGGTGTTTATCATGCATACTGTAAGGAGAGTGATCACTTAAGATGAGCTATTACCAGCAGGGGGGGAGGGGGGAAACATTTTGTAGTGATAATCAAGGTGGGCCATTTCCAGCAGTTGACAAGAACGTCTGAGGAACAGTGGGGGGTGGGGGAATAAACAAGGGGAAATAGTTTTACTTTGTGTAATGACTCAACCACTCCAAGTCTCTATTCAAGCCTAATTTAATTGTATCCAATTTGCAAATTAATTCCAATTCAGCAGTCTCTCATTGGAGTCTGTTTTTGAAGTTTTTTTGTTGAAGAATAGCCACTTTTAGGTCAGAAATCGAGTGACCAGAGAGATTGAAGTGTTCTCCGACTGGTTTATGAATGTTAAAATTCTTGACATCTGATTTGTGACCATTTATTCTTTTACGTAGAGACTGTCCAGAAAGGTGCCACAAGTACTCCTTTTCTATTAATATAGATATTGATTTGTCTGACTAAAACTAAATTGCCTGTTAATTATAATTACATGAATGGTGTCATTTAAAAAAAAAGACACATGAAACCCATCTCCTGATGTTTACCATGGCCCTGAGGATTAAATTTGACTTGTAGGCTGTATGAATTTTGCTCATAACACATAATGTACAACTAACACAAGGTACATGCTTCTGCTTGGGCTATTTGAACTCCAGGGTATGAAAAATTCTCTGAATTAGCAAGTGTCCCTCTAAAATCTGAGTGGACAATCAATACATGGAAGTGCCAGGTTAATAGCCAAGATCTCTTGCTTTGTAATCTTGGCAGACTTTGCATGGGGTTGGTACCTTGCTATCATCTTTTAAATAAGAGGGCAAACTGAGGTCCTGACCGTTTATGCTCATTAAAGATCCCCTAGTACTTTTCGTAAGAGTAAGGGTATCAACTCTGTGTGCAGGCCAAATTACACCTGCAGGTAACTAACTTTGTTTTCCTAAATCTGCCCCCCCCTCATTTGAATTCTGTAGTATTCTTCACATTCTGCCTTAACTGTTGTGTAGTATTGCTCTTTGTTGATGAGAAGCTGCCATGTTCCACCCTAGGTTGCATTTCACTGGGGGAGTGAACGGCTTCCTTTCTAAAATTTGTAAAGTGCTGGGGATCATTTGGGATGAAGATGCTATCTAAGTATTAGCAATATTGTGATCTGGTGTCTAAATGTCTTTTTTGTGGCTTGGGACTCATTCTTTGGTACAAAACAAACGCCAGGCAACAAGCAGGTTTCCTACTGTTTGGAATTCTTGTAATCTGGCAGGGTACATTTCTGGGAAGTCTGGTTACTCTCCTTATTCAAATTTTATTAATTTTGCTTCCTGTTTCTTCCTTTCCCCTCGCAGTAGGTGGCTGGTTGATTTCCAATCCAGATGCAGTGTGTGCAGCAGGAAGCTCGAATTATCAGTATGGAGGAGCTTTGTCTCTGCCTGCCCCACATTCCCACCATGGCTGTGAGCATTATGCAGCCCTTCGAGGGCATCGGGCTGCACCATATCCTGCTTCATACATGCAGAGAAATCATTCCCCAACAGGTAAGACTGCAATGTCTCCTCACACACAGCCTGCACAGTTCTTCCTTACATTAAAAGAAACAGCAAAGCAAGAAAAAACAAGTCAGTGGAGAGAGCACAGTGTGTGTCTCTTCTGTAACAGTCTGCACTGAACTCTGAGAACAAAATAGTCCCTGAACTCCACACACAAGGAGAGTATTCAGAAATTTAAAGGTGCAGTTCACAGAAAACAAAAGTATAAAAGTTAGAGGTAGATATGTCACAAAGGCTAAGTAGGTGAAGATAGATGAGAATGAGAGAAGGAGAGCAATTGTGTTTAAATGACTTCTTATTAATTATATCAAAACTCCCAGAACCATTTCAGACCTTCCTTTTATTCCAAGTAATGAAACAGTGTCCCTCCAGAGTCAAAAGCAGCCCTTAAGGGAATGTTAAGAGCTGATTTGGGAACAGGTTTTTGTATTGTCAATATGTCTTTAGAGCCCCCTCTGCCTGAAAATTCTTTGAGGTGCTCTACTGTGTCCTATTCAGTCCTTCATCTTCCTGTTGTGACTGCCAATTAATACCAATCATGGTGGCAGTTTCTCTGATATGGATATATGTTCACAAAGAACAGGACTGAGAGCATCAGTTTGTTTCATGTAGGTCATTGAACAATCAGCAACTGGTGGTAACTTTGCTCATTATCGGCTTAGGCTGCATTTGAACTGACAACACTAGAGATGAAAGGTTCTACATTCCATTTAGAGCAGGTCAGAACTCAGAATTTCTGTTGCATGGGAAATACTGATGTTTCCAAATTTGGTTTCATTCTGAATCAGAATGAAAAACAAAATTAAATCAAAAGTTCCTACAAAACAAAATTTTTGATTTTTGTTTTGGGTCAGCCAAAATGTTCATTTTTTGATAAAATTAAAATTTCATTCAGATTTTGACTTTTTAAAAATTTTAATATTAGTCATAAGTAGAGCTGGTTGGAAATTTTCCATTGAAACTTGGCTTTGTTGGAAAATGCCAATTGTCTGGACCAAAACGTTTCACCAAATCTCTTGCAGATTGCCAAAACACAAGCAAGTTTTCATTGGAAATCAGCTGGTGTTCTGTTGTCCACAGTTCTGTGCCTGGGAGCCCGCCAGCCCTGCTGAGCTGGCTGGAGCTGGGTCTCTTGGGCTGGCAGGGTCTCTGCTCCACAGCTCTGGGGCAGACCCACCAGGCAGACTGCCCAGAGCCAGGATCCTTGGAGCTTTCAGGGTGCATAGCCCCACAGTAGCCCCACCAAGTTTCCCAGCACTGGTCCTGTTATGAGCCTGGAAGCCCTGGGACATCCAGCTATTCACTCAGCTCTATTTATCATATAACAATACATTTCTAAGCAAAAAATCATTTTGAAATGAAAATTTGAGCCATTCTATTGCGATTAGGTCGGCATGGAACACATCAACCTTTTCAAAATGCTCACCATTTTTTTTCCAAACAAAATTTAGTCAAAATCGACATGTTCCCATGGAAAGTTTAGATATCAACAATATGGCATTTTCCAATGGAAAAATGTTCCATTCAAAATCATTCAGCCAGCTCTGGTCCTGTTACCATTGCTCTGCCATCCAGACGAGTGTTGTGATTCACTTTTTGAGTGAGGGAAACATGAGTAAAGTAAGTTTGTTCTCCCCTGTGTGCTTGTTGTCTCAGGCCTATGGGGAGGAGCCTTTATTAGCCAATTAGATTCTCTCTCAGTCCTGCCTGTTTTCTACATTCCTTCAGTGCCTTGCAATAACTTGGTATAGTCACCAAACTTTTGTGTTTCCTCTAAAGGGAATCTGATTGAGAGCTCCAGCAATAATGTGCAGATGTTTCCAGGACACGATAGCTGGACTTCCTTACCATCCACTCCACATGCCAACTTGCTTTCAGTACCACATGCCAAGGGAACAGCCACTGCTGGTCCTAGGTAATGTTACAGTGGAACCATAGATATTAGAGATGGGACAAGCCCAGCAATTTCTCCTTCACTATGATTAGGCAGCATGGCTTGGAAGCATGAACAAGGGTTTAGAACTCAAGACTTCCCAACCAAGCCTAGCTCTGCCACCGCCGCATTGCATGGCCTTACCCAAATAACTTTACCTCAGTTTCCCAATCTGTAAAATGAGGACAATAATGTTTACCAGCAGGGTTTTGTGAGGCTTAAAGAGTTAATCTTTGTGCTGTTCTTTGAAAATGTAGAGCACTAAATAAATGGTAATTAGTATTATCTCCACCCTTTATCTAGTGCACAGTTGGTCCCGTCAGTCTTTTTTTTAACCTTTAAAAGAGAATACTTAGTCAAGGGAAGGAGAGGAGCGAGTGTGAGCCTGTACTTAGTGTAGGAATGGGAGTCAGGACTTCTGGGTTCTCCTTCCAACAATAGGAAGGCATTTGATCCAATGGCTATATAAATGGGACTGGACGATAGGACTCTTGAGTTCTATGCATGGCTTTAGTGATTGACCCGAAGAAAATCATGCCTGCATTTTATAAATATTCACTAATTGTGGGTTCCTTATTTTCTGGGTGCCCAACCTGAAAATCCTGGCTTGATTTTCAGAAGTGCTGAGCACCTTCAACTCCAGCTGAAATCAATGGGAGCTGCATGTGTTCAGCAGCTCTGAAAGGCAATGTCTTCTTTCAACACACACAAACTCAGGCATCCAAAATTAGTTGACACTGAAATATTTTGGATTTAATCTCTCTGTGTAAAATGAGAACAATAATACTTGCCTCTCTGGGGCACTGTGAAGTCCAGTTCATAAGATGTTACAAAGATATCAAGTACTGTTAACAGAGAAGTTGAAACGTTCTAGAAGTTTGGATGAAGATTTTAATTTTAAAATTCTGAAAGTCACTGGAGAAAACATTAAAAAAAAAAAATCCTCTCCTTTGTTGATCAGCTGCCAAGCTGGTGGAACTTTTTTCAAAATTTAGAACTATAAATCTTTTCAAATTTCAAAATTAGCTTCACATTTCCTCCCCTTTCCCCCCTTCCCCCAAACCAGCCCTAGTTCTTATTGGGTTTTCACATAGGAGTTGCCAGTTGAGACCAATGGTCTGCTGAGTCTGGTATGCTATCACAGTAGCAAATACTGGGTAATGCACTTTACTTTGCCATGTTGTGCCATGGGGACGGGGGTGGGGTGGGATGTTAATCTACTTTGAAATACCTCTTTAAGTTCTATTATGGTTTACCCTGCTTTGTTCTAGCCACTATCCCTGTCTGTGGACAGTCAGCAACAGTGCCCTTAATGTTGCCAACCCGGGCAGTGATGTGAACAGCAGCGCTCCAGGCACGTTCCTGCGAGGTAACATCCCTTTGCCCACCACATCTGCCTCGATGCCTCTGCAGGGAGCAGCCATCAGCAACATGGAAACACCAGGGGAACCCACTCTTGCCAGACTAGCTGATTCTGCCTGGACATCTTTGCATTCGTTTTAATGGGCGGGAAGCTCTCTAGGAATGTTCAGCAGAATCAGAGCAAGATTGACAGGACAAAAACACCTCCTACAATCACAGTTCAGGGCAGGGAGGGGACATGCACACAAGGAACCTATTTCAGCAATGCACCAGATTCCAGGATAAATCTTGCACCTCTCCATTTCCAAATGAGCAATGAAAGATTGAGTCAAGAGGCCTAGTGCAAAGGAGGGGGAAGAGTTAGAGGGGAGCTGGTTTCTTCTTGTATCATTCAGCGCTAGAGCAGACTGTGACTGATCCAAGTCTTTAGAGTAAGCTTTGCTTCCATGTCAAAGCAAAAGGGCCAGTGATTCAGGTCCCAATGGAACAGAAGTGGCAGCTGGGTATTTTAATGGGATTTCAAAGGAATGTTTATTGTAACTTAGGCCAGTCGCAGTTAGATTGCTGGCAGGGACCTCATAATAACAACAACCAGAAACCATGACATCCTCATACAATCCCTGAGCAGCATTTTAAAGTGGAAATGCTGCCTGGAAATGCCATAGTGTTCTTTAATACTTGTTTTATGAAGTTCTTAAAATTCTTGAAGCTAATGTGGAGGAAATTGCCTTCTGTCTCCCTAAGACACTCCCCTCTAGTTTCACCTGTATAGAGTGGTATTCTTCCCTTCCTCTCCTACAGCTATTGTGTAGTCTTTGTGTGCTATAAGAAAACCTAGCAAGAAGTTATGCTAACTGCAGTTTTATTTCACGGATATGGAAGTGGGGACAGAATGCAGTGAACTCCCGCATAGGTATGTTAGCTCTACAGGACTGAGAGGAGAAAAAAATGGTTCAGAGTGATTATGTACATATAGGCCCAGGCCCACAAAAGGTACTTAGGCACCTAAGTCCCAGGGCTGGCTTCACTGTGATCCACAAAATACTGTAGGAGCCTAAACTTACTCAGCTCTTAAATTGCTGCCTCTGGGCACGCACATGGCTGCCTCCTTATCTCCCATCTAAGTCCCTGCAAGGTGGAAGGGTCCCAGTCGAGCATCTATACCACAATTAAACATACCATTAGCCTGAGCCCTGCGATCCGGAATCAGCTGGCATCATGGGACTGAGGTGCCATTTTCTAAAAGATGTAATATTTGGTGGAAGATAAGACATGAGCCAAGCAGGGGTAGCCCTCTTTTACTTGGGAGATCTGTACAGTTTGTGTAAGGACATCCGTTTCCCACACAATGGACAGAATGGATTTCCCCAGTCATATCAGCTGGGTTAAATGTGCCAGCAGGCGAGGTGTGTTGTTCCTTAGGGAAATGTGCGACTGCGGAGAGGATTTTGAAGTGGCACTTGCTCTTAAAGGCAACTCAAGAGAAGAGTGTGAACAACTACAATTGGTCAGGACCTCTGTTCTACATCTTGTCAAGTGTTGCTGATGTCACTGTGTGTGTGTGTGTGTGTGTGTGTGTGTGTTCTGCAGACATAATCTTCTGCCAAGGTACAATGGGATGGGTGCCCAGATTTTCCCAGAATGCACTCATCAAACATAGACCTGCATGGCAGCATGAAAAGCATGGATATGGAGCCATGACTGACACATGGCTCTGTTGTGGGAACAGCTGTGTGGTGGCACGGTTCAGCCACGCTTGTTGTAACTGGCTTAGATGAGCATGTCAGGACCTGGTTCCAGAAGCATGGTTATGTGGCATATTGAGGACTGTGCTGAAATTGCAAACTATCACTTTAAGAGCAGGAGGGTTTCCTGGTCCTGCATCCAGCCTCAGGAGCTCTGTAGGGAGGCATGTGACCAGCAATCAGTTTGTAGCCAGCCAGCCTAGAATAAGCTGGAGTGAGTTGTGCCTCTCTGTCTTAGGGAGCAGCCTGCTTTGTGTCTCTGCTCTGGTTTTGGTTCTTGTGTGTTATCGTTCTGAATTCTAAGAAATAAAGTAGTGTTACACTGCAACTTTCAGCAAGAACATTTTTTGTTTTTATCCAACTTCTCTGTGTGTATGCTGTGAACATAACAGGTTACACTTGTATTGTAGCCGGGGCTACAGAGGGAAGGGCGCAGCTAATAAAGCATCTTTGTTTAGCTGCACAGTGCCCTCCACACCGTCTGACCGAGATGGAAAAGCACCAGCTATTGAGTGGCCAGCAATACTTCCAGCAGTGCCTTGCTTTCTCCCCCAGCCTGTGACTCCAAGTGCGTGTTGGCATCAGTTTGTAGTGTGTGCACTGTGCAAATATCAACTCAGCCACTGGTGATTCCTTGTTGCAGCCCTCTGGCCCTTTCCCCACTCGTGAGAGACACGGCTCATCAAACCCACACCATAAGGCGTTCAGTTCCTAAGTTCTCATGTTGATCATTTATTTCCCAAGACTAAACTTTTTTTGTGGGTGTGGTGAGACAGTTGAAGCACGTGCTCCCATGGGCAGATGATTATTTATTTAGAGTCAGGGATACCGTATTTATTGCAAGTGAGATTTTTATTTTATTCTCCCAGTGTGGAAATCTCCTAATTCTCGATGGAGGACACGTAGAAGGAAACAAAGAGTCGCTAGGAACTCTGCAGTGCTGGAGTGCAGGCAGTGCTCTGTCTGTCCTTAGAAAGTCCCATTTTTTTACTTTACACTATTTGACAGTCTCTCAGCTTACAGTGTAATAGGGGAAAAGTGGTTCTGTGACCTTGTGGGTTTGCCCATGACAAACAGGATACAGAATGTGCCTGGAAACCAAAAGGCATCCTGGGGACAGCCGGAATACCAAAACACCTTGAATCAGACACTGAGGGAAGACCTTCCAAAAAGCACTTGTATTTTCTTTTTACCATATCATCTAAAGCTGTAGGTGGTGCTCTGGCTCTAACAAACTTGGTGGCCCTTTAAAATTGCCTTTGAACTGTTGCTTACTGATTGCTATGATTTGTAACAGCCATTTGTTTGTGTGTTTTTCCTGTTGCAAGATTTCTTTTTAGAAAGGGACGAACATGGCCTGGACAAAAAATAGAATTTTAACTTCCTGATGATAAGAGATTAGCAGAAATCACATTGAAATATTGTGGCTTATGGTTTAATATGGCATAAACTAGTCATTTGCTCTATCTATTTATACTGTGTTTGTCCCTGTGGTAAGTGAGCACCTATACAATGCAATCCTGGTGCTGTTCTGAATAACTTCACGCTTGTCTGTCTGTACATATGTACAGAAAGGTTAACTGGGTCTTCAGAATGGCCAGACTTTTAAATTGTACTTGATTATGAGGTACTGGGTGAAGGGGGTGCTCATATCATATGTAATTGGAATCGTAGGATCATAATAGATATAGAAAAGTCCCATTACATGATGGAATCCATCCCCTGCTCGGGAAGATGACTGTCCCCCAAATCAATTTCATCATGTCTTATAAGATGCGGAATTTGCACTGTGCCCTCAGTTGAGAGGCTCAGAAGAACTGGGTTTCAGAGTAGCAGCCGTGTTAGTCTGTATTCGCAAAAAGAAAAGGAGTACCTGTGACACCTTAGAGACTAACCAATTTATTTGAGCGTGAGCTACAGCTCACTTCATCGGATGCATTCAGTGGTTCTCTTTCTGGCTCTACACTGACCTGCAATGAGACTGTGGATAGGTCTCTGCCTCTGCTCCCACACCATTAGTCTGCTGTAGGTCTTTAGACTGTAAATTCATCAGGACAGGGACTGTCTTTTACTGGGTGTCCATACAGTCCCTATTGCAGTGGGACTCTGGTCTCAAGTGGGGCCTCTAGGCAGCTCACAGGAAATTAATAACAATGTAGTAAGATATTAACTGTCTCCATATACTGGTTGTGTGTGTGTGTATTAGGTTTGCTAGAATTGTATTAATATATTGATAAAGATAAAATCAATTAGTAGAACTCCTTCATTTCTAAAATATAAATTATTTCCCTACTGACTATATATATATATATATATATATATATATATAAATTGAGTAGGAAGATCATTTGTAAAGTTTTTAAAAATGGTTTTTTTGGCGCAGTTATTGAGGCATAACTCCTTTCTAGTGACTGTGGAATGAACGACAGAAAGAAATGTTTAAAGAAACTTTCACACTGCAGCAACTTTGAAAGGAATGGCAGCAGTTTCAAAGCCACTACCTAAATTACACAATCAGTCATTTTCTGGGAGCCTATTGCACATATCTGTGTGCAGGTAAGAGATGTTTCCATCCTGGCTCTACTTGTGTTGTGTACGTAGCTGTGTAACAGTTATGGTTTTGATTTCTGTGTTGTGCATCTTTGCATTTCTTGGGGCCTGATTTTCTGTTGCCCTGGATCTTGTGCAGTCATTTACACTGGTGCCAAGTGGGTGTAAATTGCTTCCACATCAGAATGGTAGTATTTTATATCCACTCTGCAGTCACTTTCCGCCACTGTAAATGAATATGCAATGTGCAGCGCAACAGAGAATCAGGCCCCTAGAATCTGGAGACAGCTGTTACTTTGGGACCTCTACTGAGGTTCTTCCCCTTTAAACCACTGAAGATCAAAAATCGTGTGTGTGCGTATAATCTGTCTTTCTAATCATTCACTTAGCTGTAACTGGCAGTCTGGAAAACGACACAGTTCCAAGTCTAATGTGATTGACTGTCCCCCGTTCCCACTCTGCCCCTTCCTATGAAAGTCCCTCTGTGTATGACCAAATACCAGGACAGGAAATCAATTTCTGTAACATGTGGTGTTGTATGCCTATCAGTTCTGTGCTGAATAGCCAATCCTACAGAGGGGAGAAATATTGCTCTAGGTACCTCGTGTCAGCATACAGTGAATGCCTCGTCTGTATCCATTTAAATTTAAGACTTCAGCAACCTGGAGCAGATTTTCTCAAGGTTGCCCATAGCAAGAACTGTACTTCTGGGAGCCTGTAGGTCTCTTCAATGACTTGTCTGTTAAAAGGGTTGATTTAAGTGGACAACTTTACCAGCGTGTGCACAGGGGATTACTGGAAAGCAGTGTGTGGCTCTATCACTGACACTGTGATCTTGGACACGTCTGGTGATAGAGGAACTAAGCCTGTAAAATAGGAATAAAAAGGGGATATTGATCTCCCTCTCAGAGGTGTTATGGGGCTTTAATTGGTGTTAGTAAAGTGTTTTGCTGGTGGTAAATGCAATATAATAAATGTACTGAATGTTACTAACATTATTGTCATTGCATTATACTGCCTAGGAAACATCATGTTTTTTAAAGGGACTCCGTCAAATTAGTACAGGCCCCAAATGAAAGTTTAGTCATGTGTATATAGTTTTTTCATGACATGAAAAAAAATAACCACCCATCTCCATGAAAACAAGATTATTTGAGTTAAACCTTCCCCTGTGTGCTGGTAACCACTGGAGTTAGTGAATACGGACTTCTGCCACGTAACAGGGCCCTGATTCAACAAGGTACTTAAGCACATTCCTAACTTTAAGCATTTGAGTAGAAAATAGGTGCATGCTTCAGTTAGGTGTGTAAGTACCTTGCTGAAGGGGGGGCCTCACTTTGTAACCCTGGTCCAGCTCATATAACTGGATACAGGAAATAAAAGAAAAGTTCAGCCTCTCACCAGCACGTCTCTTACACCCTGCTGTGTTGGAAACACAAGACCATTAAATGTGAGGGGGAGTGAACAAAACTGACTAGAAGCAACAGTGAAACTGAGCAGTCTAGTATCACTGCCCAAGATGAGTGGGATTGCTGAGATCAGATTTACTCATGCCAGTCATCCCACTGACGTCAGTGGGCTTACCTGTGTGTATAAGGACTGCTCCTGAGAGTTTGCCAGCTTGGCCTCCTAGCTAATGCTCACTTCATGGAGCCATAAGGTACTGCACGTGGAAGGAAGCATTGGTTCCTCAATTTGTTTTGATGACACATTTCAGCTTTCAACATTTGTTTTAAACTAGTGACGGATTTTTTAAAGAAGTTGTTACATTGCCTGGCAATTGGGTAATGTGTGTTGTGTGCCAAGCCAAGCATCCGGCTAGGCTAGGGTGAGACTCAGCTCTCTAATGAGGCTCTAGCCCCTTATTTTTGATTCCTCATCCCTTTAAGATCCTTTGACAAGGGGGTGGGGCTAACTCATGGAGAACAGGGGTTTAAAAAGCCAGCTCCTAATCAACCAGAGGAGCTAGCATCCAGGGGAGTTTTGCAAGGGAGTTTAGAGAGGGAGCTTGAGAGCCAGATATCCCTAGCAAACATATTCTAAACTTAGGCCAATAACCGTCTCCCCAAAACCCCCACAAAGGACAGACAGACAGACACAACTCCCGCCCCCACCCCGCAAAAGTGAAAACATAATGCAGGCAGAAGTCCAGCAGCAGAGTGGGAGCTAATCCAGTTTATTGCACTGAATGTAGCATGTACGATTACCTGCCCTGAGGGCAGGTGGCATATGTGTACATTCAGTGCAAGCAACTCATGGCCCTCAGAGATTGCATATGGGCTCTTGAGACCAGAGTGGGTCTATTATAGGAGCTAAGGGAGATGGAGAGGTACATGGACAAGATTTTCAGGGACACACTAGAGCAGTTCCACCCCAGTCTGCCAGCCTCTGTGCTGTTCAGGAGGTGGAAGTCTCAGGGATGGAGAACATCAAGCTGGAGTGAAGGGAAACAATCCCATAGCTGGGACCCTCCATCCAGATGATGTCATGGTATCCTCTCACACTGAGGATATGGGGACCCCAATTATTAGGAACCCCCAGGTAATAGTAATGGATCAATTATTAGAAAGATAATTGGGTTTGTGGTGACTGGGAGAACCACATGGTGAATTTTCTGCTGGGTGTGAAGGTTGAGAACCTCTTGAGACATCTAGATAGACTTATGTGCTGTGCAGGGTGGGATAGGAGGGAGGATGGTGGTCATGGTAAATGTAGGTACCAATTACATTGGGAAAAGTAGGAGAAAGGTTCTGGAGACCAAATTTAGGCTGCTACATAAGAGATTAAAGTCCAGGACCTCCATGGTAGCATTCTCTGAAATGCTTCCAGTTCCACGTGCAGGCCAGTTAGACAGGCAGAACTGCAGTGTCTCAATGCGTGAATGAGACAATGGTGTTTGGAGGAGGGATTTAGTTTATTAGGAGCTCAGGAACCTTTTGGGAAAGGAGGAGCCTATGCAGAAAAGAGGAGCTCCACCTAAACCAAAACAGAACCAGATTGCTAGCATGTAAAATTAATAAGGTTGTAGAGGAGTTTTTAAACTAAAGTCTGGGAAAGCCAACGGGTTTGGACAGACATCCCTTAGGAGAGGATTTATTAAAGGGGATACTCTATCAACTTCTGTCCTCTCCTCTGTACTATGATATAAAGTACAGGAGAAGAGAAATAGTCAAATGAAAAAGAGTCCCATTCAGTGACATCCCACATGAAGGCAGACAACTAAATACTGACTATTTTTGTAAGTGCTTGTATACAAATGCAAGCACTCT